TATTTATAGGCACATCTAGTGGTGATAACTTCATTAGCATTTGTTTATCTTGGAATATTTTACTTTTCCCCTAATTTCTGAAGGACAATTTTTATTGAATATAGTATTCTTGATTGACATTATTTTTTTTCTTTCTTCTAGCCTGCAAAGTTGGAGAATGTTCCATTTGTAATTTTTATTTTGTTCATGCATCATTTTCCTGATTTCATTTAGTTGTGTGCTCTTAAAAATATAATTGGTCATCCTTGTGATAGTATTTTTGATTTTTTTGTCTGGTAATTCATAGATCCCCTTTAGGGTCAGATTTCGAGATTTAATTTGTTCTTTTGACTACTTAGAAGTCTAATGACAATTAATCCTTGTACATGGCAAGTCTCTTTATTCAAGATTCTGTTTGTCTATGGCTTTTGACAGTTTGCTTATTGTGTATTTCTATGTAGGTCTCTTTAGATTGATTTTTATTGAAAGTTCTTCTATCTCCTTGATTGATATGTCAGTTTTTGTCCTCAGACTTCAAAAGTTTTTACACATATTTTCTTTAAAGAGTTCTCTATGTACCTGTTTTATTTTTCTTCCTCTTCTGGAACTCCCAAAGTGGTGTACATAAGTCTGTAGGCTCTGTTCATTTATCTTTTTATCTTTTTTTTCTTTTCTTTCTATTTTTTTTTGGAGGGGGGTTACCAGGGATTGAACTCAGGAGCACTAACCTCTGAGCCACATCCTTAGCCCTATTTTGTATTTTGTTTAGAAACAGAATCTCAGTGAGTTGCTTAGTGCCTTGCCATTGCTGAGGCTAGCTTTGAGCTCGTTATCCTCCTGCCTCAGGCTGCCGACTGCTGTGATTACAGGTGTGTGATTCTGCCTCTGGCCCTTTTTCTTTATTATCTTTTTATTTTTATTCTTCTTTCTTGATAATTTCAAAGTACTATTTTTGAAGTTGCTGATTTCTTCTGCTTGGTTGTCTGCTGTTGAATCCCTCTAATGAATTTTTCAGTTAATTAATTTTGTATTCTATAGCTGTAGTTGTTGTTTGCTCACTCTTCTCAGCTTTTTAATGATATTTTAATTTTGTTCATGCATTATTTCACTGATTTCATTTAGTTTTGTGCTTTTCAAAATATAATTGGTCATCCTTGTGACAGTATTTTTGATTTTTTGTCTGGTAATTCATAGATCCCTTTTAGGGTCAGATTTGGAGATTTAATTTATCCTTTTGACTGTATCATATTTTCCTTTATTTGTATTTGCCTTGTTATCTTTTGTGGGACTTTGGTATTTGAAAAATCAGCCACCTTTCTTAGTTTTTTTTTGTGGTCTAGTTTTGTACAGAAAGGACTTTCATCAATGAGAGTGGCCAGAGGTTCTGGAGACCTCTCAAGCCTTTGTTTTAGATGTGTCCTCTCTGAACTTTCTCATTTAAAGTAATTGAAGAAGTGTTTTGATTCCTACTCAGAAGCTTTTGCTAATATATCTCTGCAGTACTGCAGCTTCTTTGGTGTTATAACAAACTGATGTACTGGAGCTCTCCTTAATATCTGTCAATAGTTCTACAGACTCTGGTGTTGAAACCAAGCCATCCTTGACTTTGTTCTCAGAGTTCACCAACCTGTTAGCTTGTTTCTTTTAGCATGTATACTCAAACAACACAGAAACCAATCCCTTGGACAGCCCCACAAAAGTCAGAACACTGAAGATAGTCCACTCTTTCTTTCCTCTGGGAGAATTGCTCTTTCTCATTGCCATGCTTAGATTTTCTACCTCTGTGCAATTCTTTATCCTTCTTCCTACTCTAGGATTTAGCATTTGAAAATTGTTGTTGTGGTAAAATAAACAAAACATAAAATTTACCTTCTTTTCCATTTGTGTGTGTGTATGTGTGTGTTTGTGTGTGTGTGTGTGTTACCGGGGCTTGAACTCAGGGCAGTATTTGAATGCAAGGCAAATACTCTACAATTGAGCCACATTTTAACCATATTCAAGTGCACAGTTCAGTGATGTTAACCACACTCACAGTGTTGTGCAGCCATCACCACCATCCACATCCAGAGCTCTTTTTATCTTGAAAAATTAAAACTCTGTACCCATCTTAAAATCTGTATCCATCCCCCTCTCTACTGTCTCTGCCAACTACCATTCTACTTTCTGTCTCTGTGAATTTGACTACTCCAGATAACTCATATAAATGGACTCAGGCAGTATTTGTCCTTTTGTAATTAGCATTATTTACTCAAAATCAAGTCCACAATGCTTATCCCTGTCGTAGCATGTGCCAACATTTAATTCCTTTTAAAGATTAAACAACATTCTATTGTATTCCACATTTTGTTTATCTATTCATCTGTTGATGGACACTTGAATTGCTTTTAACCTTTGGCTACTGTGAATCATACTGATGTTAGCATAGGTGTACCAATGTCTGTTTTGAATCCCTGCTTTTAATTCCTTTATATAAATACCCAGAAGTGTGATTACAAGGTCACGTGGTAATTCTGTTTAATTTTGAGGAACCACAATATTGTTTTCCACCATGACTGTGTTATCTTGCTTTTTAGTACCAGTGCACAAGAATTCCAATTTTCTCTACATCCTTGCCAACACATGTTATTTTCTGATTTTTGTTTTATTTTTAATAGTAACCTTCATAAAGCATAAAAATGGTATCTCCTGTTTTCTGTTTATATTCTTTAGTGACTAAAGTTGTTCATCATTCTTTTATGTGATTATTGGTTATTTATTTATCTCCTTGTTGGAGATGTCTATTTAAATTCCTTGCACATTTAATATTGAATTGTAGAAGTTCTTTCTGAACTGAATTGCAACCCTTGTCAAATATATGATTTGCAAATATTTTAAACATTCTCTGGGTGGCCTTTTTACTCTGCTGTGCCTTTTATGCACAAAAGATTTAATTTTGATGGAGTCAAATTCATCCAATTTTTTTCTTTTGTTGCTAGAGCTGGTATTAAATGCAAGAAATTATTGCCAAGGCTAATGTCACAAAGTTTTTCCCCTGTGTTTTCTTCTGACACTTTTGTAGTTTTGGGTCTACATCTGGGTCTTAAATCCATTTTGAGTTTATTTTTGTATGTGGCATAAGGTAAGGATGCAACTTTATTCTTTAGCTTATGGATATCTAGTTTTCCCAACCTCATTTGCTGAAAAGATTAATTTCCCCATTGGATGACCATGCACCCTTGTCAAAGGTAATTTGTCCGAGGTGAATTTTGAGTCTTTGAGATAGAGCCTAAACCACCAGTCTCTTTCCTGAGTACTGTTGTTAGAGCAACTTTCGTAAATGGTTCATTCATGCTAGCATGATTCTGCTTAAGAGATAATGTACCAAAACAATTAACTTCCCTCAGGTTTTGTGCATGTGTGTTTACTCCACATTTCTATCTCTTAAAACCTTTATTGTACTTAATATATTTGTTGTTTCCTACTTTAAGTTGTTAAGGCTTTATATCTATAGGTCCTATTAATGTGATGAGATTAAAAAGCTCTGAAAACCTAAAGACTAGTAAATATTGCAGAATTGCCAGAAATGTCTCTTGAAAAAGTTAAGTACCCAAGTGACTGACTTCACAGCCTTCTGTATGGTATAAAGTTTATGCAATGTTTGTAGACAGAACACTTATCGAATCTAGTGAGGTTGAAAAAAGATGATACTTAATTCTCATAGTTGTTAGTAAAGCTTAATCTAAAATGTAGAATACTGCTTTGATGAAATTCAGGCACTAGCAACGTAGTGCATAGCATTTGTTGGGTTGTTCTTTCCAAAAATGCTAGTAGCTTTTTGGAGCTAATATGACTTCATTGTGCTGACAGATGTTTGAGGAGTTGGTTCAAATTCAGAATCATTGTTCCATTTTGTGTAATATGAAAATTATTGCCGAAGTTATACTGGATACACAATTTTACAAGAGATAGAGAGCTCAGAGGTGCTACTCATAGTCTGAAAAGTGGAGTGCAGAGTCGATTTGTGAATGATCAGATATTTAGCAAAATTGAAGAAGGCTCATTGAAATAATTGCAGATACAACTACTCTTGTTTCCATAGAAACTCGATGTAGAAATTTTCCTAAGTCTTGTTCATATTCCTTCTGGACAGAAATATTCTGAAATTGCCTCTGTCCTTTCCTTTGCCAGTCACTAAATGGTGAAAAAGGGAATGTCCTACCTTTCAGAGGATTTCAGCTCCCTGATTTAGAAGTCTGCTGATTTGGCAGTCTCATTACTGGACTCACTCACTTTGATTTCTGACATGAAAGGAGAAACTATTTTTGTTATTGTTGTTTTGTTTTTTCGTTAGACAAACAAACTGATTTATCCCTGATGTGGGACATTAGCTATCACATCTTCTGATCATATAACATTTATGTGCTCATAAGTTAATGCACAGACGATTTGGAAGAGAAATTCTTTGACTTACTGACATTTTCTTCATTTTTAAGTTATAGAATTTAACTCTAAGACATAATAATATCAATAAACAATGTTTTTTATTTTTCTTTGGCAATGAACTTACTAGAACTTTGTCTTGAGTTACTTTGCTTTGGAATTTGCTAGACAGCCATGTGATAGATAACTAACCTGAATACTGGTACATTCCTGATAGTGCTTATCTTGTGTATTTAGTATTATAGCAAAGCTTTAACATTAAATTACTTATATAATGTCTTGTATTTTGTCTCATATATTTGGTATAAAATTAACTACTGCTATAGAATATCTGTAGTCATTCATCACTAGCAACTTGCTTTGGGTAAAGTCTTATTTTCCTAGAACTTAATAAAAACAAGTAGGATTTTCTCCTTGAAAATTTTAAAAAGTAAGACAGGCAGGGTTTGCATTGCAAATGCAAGACAGATCCCAAAGAAAAATTCACCCATATGTTTCCAACAAGCCTTGAGATGTGAGTGAATGAGTCATTGGGGCATTGAATTGTGCTCTCTTCTTCTTTCTACCATAAAGTATTAACATATGTGTGTTTTTCTCCACAGTAAAACCGACTGTAATTGATGTTGACATTTATGTTAACAGCATTGGTCCTGTGTCATCAATAAACATGGTAAGAAGATTTTATTTTCTGATCTGATGGCTATAGCACCCTTTTTGGTTTACATTATCATTGTGGATTTCTGCTTGAGATTTACCATGTAGATTTAAAACTCAAAATTCACTTCTTAAATCTATAGCATTTGTTGGTAGTTTAAATATTGAAGATGATTAAAAAAAATCAAGAGGTAGAATGTATGATGTAAGCAGTGAGACATTGCTCTGATGATTAAGAAATGTTCCTACTGCTCTCTTCTCTGTTCAGGTATTTACAGCACATAGATTTTCAGATGGGATTACTTGCAATTGTGTGATCACTGATTTAATTGAGCTATTTAATATTAGGAGTGAATATAAATGTCAGCTTGTTACTTTTGGTTTCTTGTTTTAACAAAATCCAAGAGATCTGCCTTTAAGTGTTTCTCAGGAAGGTTTTGGTGATTACCCAGCTTATACTCTTGTCTTCAGGGAAATGTCTGAGGGTCCATCAGCTGTCATTGTTTATTTATTTCAGGAGAAAGTATGGGATCAAGTATATGCTTTCCTTGAGAAGGGTGTTTCTACAGACTTATAAGCAAATTGAGCTAAGGATTATTTACTGTGAAAGAAGTCTTTCCCCATGAAAAGGTGCTTAGCTGCTCAGCGAGTGCTGATATGCTGGAAAATAAGATACAAGCCTCCTCTTTCAGGCTGCATACCGTGTGTTCCACCTGTGGGAATATGAAGGTTTCCTGGAGCAGGCTTGCATTTGTAGCCCCAAGCCATGTCATAGATGGCCTCATGCTGGGAGCCTTTCCTGTGCTCATTCCTACACATTTTGTCCTGAAAGGGGGACGTGTGAGACTGAAAGTAGGGAATAACCAAAATGCTAAGTCACATATCTTCTTTTCATTGCAGTATTCTGTGGATGGAAATAAACCCTCCACAATTAGTAGCAAGATTGCACTGCCAGATTTTAAAAGTGTTCTTATTTTTGGTGATATGAAGGTTCCATTGAGGGGTAAAATTATACATATGGGTAAATCCTTCAAAAAACCATTCTTGGGGCTGGGTGTGTGTAGTTCAGTGGTATAGCATGTATTTGCATGTTTGAAGCTCTGGGTTCAATCACCCAATTAATAAAAAATCTCCATAACCTCTATTAATAAACTGGAACATAAAGGTAAAATGAATAAAAGAGAATTACTTTATACAGCCCATGGACTACAGATGGCTTTTGTAATAAAATCAAGCTACAAATCTCATAGTCCCTTTCCTGATAAGTAATTACTTAGTCGACTGCGTGAGAGTAATCATTTCTTAATGTATTTATTTATTATTCTGGAGTTTTATTTGCTTATGTTTGTTACACAGCATTTTATTTAGCAGCTTTATATGTAACAGTAATTTGTGCCTAACACTGAAAACAAAGGTACCTCTGTAGATGTATAGTTACCTAATTATTTTAACAAAGTGTTCTCACATTTGTATATGTAGGGATTTCTTATAGCTTTGAAATCTACTCTGTGCTCAGTATTAAGCTTTGTTGTTGAAATCATTGGGAAATCACGGTGTCAGAAGAGGATGCAAAGTGTGTGATATCACCCTCATATGATAAGAACTCTGCTAAAGTTAGGCACCTTCCACAGGAAAATTGGAAGAACAGAACACACTTCTTCATTGAGGTCATCTCAATCTGAAACTTGACTGACAGGGCAAAGTTTGCTGGGTAGGACAGTATGGAAAGGTCTCTAGTTACAAAACAGTGTAACAGTGTGTGACAGGACTGGGGAGAGATTTATGTCCCAAGGAATGCCCAGGGGGTGGGTGCATGGGGTATCACCCTTTCTTCTCAGGCTGAGGCCTTGAAGCCATGGCAAAGATTTGACTTTGCCCAAAGGTTTGTCCAAAACAGATCACAGTGTTTGGAAAAGTGCAAAACCCACTTCTACCTTAGATATGTGCAGATCATACTTCATGAGATTAGCTTTTAATTCAATCCTGCAAAATCTCTGGTCAAACCTCCTTTCGCCCTTTTAAAGAAAAAAAAAAAAAAAACAACCACGTAAGGACACACACTTGACATTAAGGATTTAAAATCTTAAACTCTGGCCCTTTCATATAAAGACAAGGAACCTCCTAATCAAAATGGCCTGAGGCATTTTAAGGCCTCCTTCTCAAAAAAAAAAAAAAAAATCCTTGGGCTTAAGCAACATATACATCCTGATACAGATATAGCAAGTTACTAATGTTAGGGTTTTTTGGGAACAGGGATAGGAACATAAAGCTTTTTTTTCAGTTAACCCCCTTATTTAAACAACAACAACAAGAATAAATATGCCCTGAATGTCTTGAAATTTCATTTAGTCCATGTTTTTCTTTCAAGAATGTGACTCTACTGTAGTGAAAGGATGGACCAATGAATGTTGCTGCTTTTATTTCGTGAAACCAAAGCAGCTCTCCAGGCAACAGTAGAGAAGCTGATCAATAGCAAATGTTTTACTTTGGAAATAGTGGCATGTTTACGGTACATTCTTGGCAGAGCTGAGGTAATCTAGGCCATTTCTGCATCTAATTTCTTTTTTTTTAATTTGTTTTAATTAGTTACACATGACAGTACAATGATCTTGACATATCATACATTTGAATCAGATGGGATATACTTTCTCATTTTTCTGAGTGTACAGGTTGCAGAATTACATTGGTCATGCAGTCACGTATATACCCACAGCAATAATAATGTCTATTTTATTCTGCTGTCCTTCCAACCTGCATCTAATTTCATGAGGAAGAGGTAATATACTACTGACATACCTCAGCTCAGCAAAGCATGGGGTAGGCAAGGGTTTGTTTAAAACACACGCACACACGTTACTACATATAATTTCTATGTTCTCTGTGGGTGAATCTCTATGTATCTCTCTTTGTTCATTCACTAAACAGTTGCTACTGTGTTAGGGCACTGTGTTGGATGCAGGTAAAATATGATGAAGGAATTTCTACCCTGGGGCAAGCAAGTGCACAAATGCATTAGGTGCCAGGTATAAAGCTCAATGCTGAGCTCCCCAGAGGAGGAAATATCTTGCTGACCTTCGGGAGGTGTTCAAGGCCTTTTGAGGCGAGGGCCTCCATACTGCCTCTTGAAGGATGAGAATTTCTTACCTTTGCATTTGGAACACTTTGCTGGGAAGTCAAAATGTTACAGAACTGCTTCTTTCCTTGGGGAACACATCACATAAACCCATTGTATCTGTGAAGCCACATTATACTATTGTAAAAGAATATAAAATGCTTAAAAGCAAAATTTGGGCCTTCCAACAATAAAAATTTAAAAGTAGAGAACTGACTATGTAAATGGGTATTGAGGACAAAATCATCAATTGAAAAAAAAATAATCAGAAAAATGTGAGAGACTTAAAACAATCAAAGAATATTTACAGGAAAAAGCACCATTTAGAGATGTGTGCAGGGTTTCAGGATGTAAATTTGTATTGGCATATTACCATAAAGCGAAAGCCTGATAGCATGATGATTTTTTCCCCTCAAACAGCCACTTAGCAATCAGTAACTTAGGGAAGACAAGGACTATTTCTTCCTCTTTGCCTTTTCCCTATTTGGCTTTTTGTTGACATTATTAAGATTGAAGATTTAATTTCAGACCTTCCTCCTGCTAAATGAAAATGAAGGTTCATTTCAATATTGTTGAATAGGTAGACTCTGATTGTCTTGTTTATTCTGCAGTTATCAGCATTGTTGCTGGTTATCAAGGAGATTAGAATTCGTTCAGATGGGACCAGGAGAATATTGTTTTGCACAGTGCTTTCGTAGCAGCTTCTGTTTTTGTCATGACAACATTTCTAAATGTGTACAGTTTCTCATCAGAATTGTGCACGAACTGTTTCAGGACCATGCAGTTTTTCTTTTTTTAAAGCGGCATGCAGGGGAGCTTGTGGGTTTATTTTTGAGAATATCCACTTAAAGTAGCCTTTTAGGAAAAGAAAGAAGAAAACTGGTGCTCTCATACCTGCTCTATGCTGTTGGTCTCATCTAAGTTAGTCTTCTATAGATCATAGTGGGGAATCTATTCTTATTTGTGTTGAGTTAACTGAAGCTCATTGAAATTCCAGAACAAGGATTTCATTATGACCCACTTGGTGGTAACCCAGGCTTGTTCTCTGGTTAGGCTGGTGATAATGCAACTCTATGTATGCACCAGTATAGCTGCTGCTTTAACCAAGACCTTTGAGATGAAAAGGACTCAGCATGAATCTAGTGTTAGGATTGCTTTTCCTTTAAAAAAGCTTTAATTAGTAGATTTTATTTTTTTAGTGAAGCTTTAGGATTGCAGAAAATTTGCATAGACTGTACAGAGAATCCTCAGTGTGCACCCTTTACATTAGGGTTCACTCTCAATGCTGTATACCCTGTGGATTTGGACAGAAGGATCCTGATATGTGTTCACCATTATAGTATTATACCCAAAACTTTCATAGTCCCCCCCAAATCATCTGTGCTCTCCCAATTCACCCCTCTTTCCCCATGACCTTTGGTGAGATCCAATCTTTTTACATTCTTCATAGTTTCACTTTTTCCAGAATATCACATATTTGGAATTATACCATATGTGGCTTCTCCAGACTGAGGTAGTCCAAGACAGGTAGTGAGTCAGCATGATGTAACTATAATGTGAGTTACCCATAAATTAATGGGGGGTGGATGTGTAAGTCATGGGAACAAGTTAAACTTCACCAGAATTTCATTATATGATAAATAAAACTCACGGGATATTATGTAGCAACAAGAGTCATGGGGGAAAATGTGAGGACCTCCAACATCATGCTGCTCTGTTCCCCTTTTATTTGAAACTTTAAGAAATGATACCAGGCAGCTATGCCCTTATTAAGATCTGTAGAAGATAAACTCCATTTCAGAAAAGTTGATCTTGTTGGAGGATGATTTATTGCTTAGTAGAACTTTCTTGAAGGCATTTAGTTTCAGGAAAGTCCAAAAGAAGTGCTGGCTACTGTAATATGC